GAATCCTCATTGGGGGGGTCAGGGATGGAATCCTCGCCTGATGAAATCTTCTCCCATCATTGGGGGGGTCAGGGGTGGAATCCTCATTTGGGGGGGTCAGGGATGGAATCCTCATTGGGGGGTCAGGGGTGGAATCCTCGCCTGATGAAATCTTCTCCCATCATTGGGGGGTCAGGAGTAGAATCCTCATTGGGGGTTCAGGGGTGGAATCCTCATTGGGGGGTCAGGGGTGGAATCCTCATTGGGGGTTCAGGGGTGGAATCCTCATTGGGGGGGGTCAGGGATGGAATTCTCATTGGGGGGTCAGGGGTGGAATCCTCATTTGGGGGGGGTCAGGGATGGAATTCTCATTGGGGGGTCAGGGGTGGAATCCTCATTTGGGGGGGGGGGGTCAGGGATGGAATTCTCATTGGGGGGTCAGGGGTGGAATCCTCATTGGGGGGGTCAGGGGTGGAATCCTCATTGGGGGGTCAGGGATGGAATCCTCATTGGAGGGTCAGGGGTGGAATCCTCATTGGGGGGTCAGGGGTGGAATCCTCATTGGGGGGTCAGGGGTGGAATCCTCAATGGGGGGGTCAGGGGTGGAATCCTCATTGGGGGGTCAGGGGTGGAATCCTCAATGGGGGGGTCAGGGGTGGAATCCTCATTGGGGGGGTCAGGGGTGGAATCCTCATTGGGGGGTCAGGGGTGGAATCCTCATTGGGGGGGTCAGGGGTGGAATCCTCATTGGGGGGTCAGGGGTTGAATCCTCATTGGGGGGGGTCAGGGGTGGAATCCTCATTGGGGGGTCAGGGATGGAATTCTCATTGGGGGGTCAGGGGTGGAATCCTCATTGGGGGGGTCAGGGATGGAATCCTCATTGGGGGGTTAGGGGTGGATCCTCATTGGGGGGTCAGGGGTGGAATCCTCATTGAGGGGTGGAATCCTCATTGGGGGGTCAGGGGTGGAATCCTCATTGGGGGGTCAGGGGTGGAATCCTCATTGGGGGGTGAGGGGTGGAATCCTCATTGGGGGGTCAGGGGTGGAAACCTCATTGGGTGGGTCAGGGGTGGAATCCTCATTGGGGGGTCAGGGGTGGAAACCTCATTGGGGGGGGTCAGGGGTGGAATCCTCATTGGGGGGTCAGGGGTGGAATCCTCATTGGGTGAGTCAGGGTGGGAATCCTGATTGGGGGGGTCAGGGATGGAAACCTCATTGGGGGGTCAGGGGTGGAATCCTCATTGGGGGGGTCAGGGATGGAATCCTCATTGGGGGGGTTAGGGGTGGAATCCTCATTGGGGGGGTTAGGGGTGGAATCCTCATTGGGGGGTCAGGGGTGGAATCCTCATTGGGGGGGGTCAGGGGTGGAATCCTCATTGGGGGGTCAGGGGTGGAATCCTCATGGGGGGGTCAGGGGTGGAATCCTCATTGGGGGTCAGGGGTGGAATCCTCATGGGGGGGTCAGGGTGGAATCCTCGCCTGCCGAATTCTCCTGCCGCTGGGATTGGTGTATAAAGCTGGCGACAGATCGATACAGAGTGTCCATTGTACCAGATAATGTATTTTATCGATCGATTGATTTCAGGAATTTATAGCCGACAAATAATAAGAAAATGAAACTCAATAACATAAAATAAATCCACAAAAAGTGACGCCAAACACATAATGTGTGAGCGAAATATGGGGAGCCGCTGGGGGGCAGAAATGATCCCTCATTATGAACGGCCCCCGAACTTCACCGAGGGCCAAATATTCCAACTCTGCCATCATTGCCGGCCATAGATCCAACCTGCGCTCCGACAGTCCCTACACCAGAGGTGGTCAATGCTCAGGATATAGGCGGCCGCATATATATACAGTCATGGCCGAAATTGTTGGCACCCTTGATATTTCTCCAGGAAATCATGTATTTCTCACGAAACGTATTGCATTAACACATGTTTTGCTATACACATGTTTATTCCCTTTGTGTGTATTGGGACAAAACAAAAAAAGGGAGGAAAGAAAGCAAATTCGACATAATGTCACACAAACCTCCAAAAATGGGCTGGACAAAAGTATTGGCACCCTTTCACAACTGCGGATAAATAAGAATGTTACAAGCATGTGATGCTCCTGTAAACTCACCTGGGGCAAGTAACAGGTGTGGGCAATATAGAAATCACACCTGAAAGCAGATAAAAAGGAGAGACGTTCACTTAACCTTTGCATTGTGTGTCTGTCTGTGCCACACTAAGCATGGACAACAGAAAAGAGGAGACGAGAACTGTCTGAGGACCTGAGAACCAAAATTGTGGCAAAATATCAACAATCTCAAGGTTACAAGTCCATCTCCAGAGAACTAGATTTGCCTTTGTCCACAGTGCGCAACATTATCAAGAAGTTTGCAACCCATGGCACTGTAGCTAATCTCCCTGGTCGTGGACGGATGAGGAAAATTGATGAAAGATTGCAACGCAGAATAGTCCGGATGGTGGATAAGCAGCCCCAAACATGTTCCAAAGACATTCAAGCTGTCCTGCAGGCTCAGGGAGCATCAGTGTCAGCGCGAACTATCCGTCGACATTTAAATGAAATGAAACGCTATGGCAGGAGACCCAGGAGGACCCCACTGCTGACACAGAGACATAAAAAAGCAAGACTACAGTTTGCCAAAATGTACTTGAGTAAGCCAAAAGCCTTCTGGGAAAACGTCTTGTGGACAGATGAGACCAAGATAGAGCTTTTCGGTAAAGCACATCATTCTACTGTTTACCGAAAACGGAATGAGGCCTACAAAGAACAAAACACAGTACCTACGGTAAAATATGGTGGAGGTTCAATGATGTTTTGGGGTTGTTTTGCTGCCTCTGGCACTGGGTGCCTTGACTGTGTGCAAGGCATCATGAAATCTGAGGATTACCAAAGGATTTTGGGTCGCACTGTAGGGCCCAGTGTCAGAAAGCTGGGGTTTGCGTCCAAGATCCTGGGTCTTCCAGCAGGACAATGACCCCAAACATACGTCAAAAAGCACTCAGAAATGGATGGCAAAGAAGCGCTGGAGAGTTCTGAAGTGGCCAGCAATGAGCCCAGATCTAAATCCCATTGAACACCTGTGGAGAGATCTTAAAATTGCTGTTGGGAAAAGGTGTCCTTCCAATAAGAGAGACCTGGAGCTGTTTGCAAAGGAAGAGTGGTCCAAAATTCCGGGTGAGAGGTGTCAGAAGCTTATTGATGGTTATAGGAAGCGACTGATTTCAGTTATGTTTTCTAAAGGGTGTGCAACCAAATATTAAGTTAAGGGTGCCAATACTTTTGTCCAGCCCATTTTTGGGGTTTTTGTGTGACATTATGTCATATTTGCTTTTCTGCCTCTGTTTTATATTTGTTCCAATACATACAAAGGGAATAAACATGTGTATAGCAAAACATGTGTTAATGCAATACCTTTTTTGTGTGAAATACTTGATTTTCAGGAAAAATATCAAGGGTGCCAACAATTTCGGCCATGACTGTATACTACAGGAGAAGACGGTCAGAGACTGCGGACATAGTACAGGAGATGACCAGAGACTGCAGACACAGTACAGAGGATGACCAGAGACTGCGGACATAGTACAGGAGATGACCAGAGACTGCGGACACAGTACAGGAGATGACCAGAGACTGCGGACACAGTACAGGAGATGACCAGAGACTGCGGACACAGTACAGGAGATGACCAGAGACTGCGGACACAGTACAGGAGATGACCAGAGACTGCGGACACAGTACAGGAGATGACCAGAGACTGCGGACACAGTACAGGAGATGACCAGAGACTGCGGACACAGTACAGGAGATGACCAGAGACTGCGGACATAGTACAGGAGATGACCAGAGACTGCGGACATAGTACAGGAGATGACCAGAGACTGCGGACACAGTACAGGAGATGACCAGAGACTGCGGACACAGTACAGGAGATGACCAGAGACTGCGGACACAATACAGGAGATGACCAGAGACTGCGGACACAGTACAGGAGATGACCAGAGACTGCAGACATAGTACAGGAGATGACCAGAGACTGCGACATAGTACAGGAGATGACCAGAGACTGCGGACACAGTACAGGAGATGACCAGAGACTGCAGACATAGTACAGGAGATGACCAGAGACTGCGGACACAGTACAGGAGATGACCAGAGACTGCGGACACAGTACAGGAGATGACCAGAGACTGAAGACATAGTACAGGAGATGACCAGAGACTGCGGACACAGTACAGGAGATGACCAGAGACTGCGGACACAGTACAGGAGATGACCAGAGACTGCAGACACAGTACAGGAGATGACCGGAGACTGCAGACACAGTACAGGAGATGACCGGAGACTGCAGACATAGTACAGGAGATGACCAGAGACTGCAGACATAGTACAGGAGATGACCAGAGACTGCGGACACAGTACAGGAGATGGTCAGAGACTGTGGACATAGTACAGGAGAGGGTCAGAGACTGCGGACACAGTACAGGAGATGACCAGAGACTGCAGACATAGTACAGGAGATGACCAGAGACTGCGGACACAGTACAGGGAGATGACCAGAGACTGCGGACACAGTACAGGAGATGACCAGAGACTGCAGACATAGTACAGGAGATGACCAGAGACTGCGGACATAGTACAGGAGATGACCAGAGACTGCGGACATAGTACAGGAGATGACCAGAGACTGCGGACACAGTACAGGAGATGACCAGAGACTGCGGACACAGTACAGGGGATGACCGGAGACTGCGGACATAGTACAGGAGACGGTCAGAGACTGCAGACACAGTACAGGAGATGACCGGAGACTGCGGACACAGTACAGGAGATGACCAGAGACTGCGGACACAGTACAGGGATGACCAGAGACTGCGGACACAGTACAGGGATGACCAGAGACTGCGGACACAGTACAGGGATGACCAGAGACTGCGGACACAGTACAGGGGATGACCGGAGACTGCGGACACGGTACAGGAGATGACCGGAGACTGCGGACACAGTACAGGAGATGACCAGAGACTGCGGACACAGTACAGGAGATGACCAGAGACTGCCGACACAGTACAGGAGATGACCAGAGACTGCGGACACAGTACAGGAGATGACCAGAGACTGCCGACACAGTACAGAAGATGACCAGAGACTGCGGACACAGTACAGGAGATGACTAGAGACTGCAGACACAGTACAGCAGATGACCAGAGACTGCGGACACAGTACAGGAGATGACTAGAGACTGCAGACACAGTACAGGAGACGGTCAGAGACTGCAGACACAGTACAGGAGATGACCAGAGACTGCAGACACAGTACAGGAGATGACCAGAGACTGCGGACACGGTACAGGAGATGACCAGAGACTGCAGATCTTCCTTGATCAGCCATTGCATTCTGACCACTGACAGGTAACGGGAATAACATTGATTATTGATATATTAGGGCAGGAAGTAAACATGTTGTCCCTGAAGTTGATGCGATGAAAGTAGAAAACAGGGACAAGTGTAAGGATTGGAGGGACTCTGACAGGGACCAGACTGTAATGAATACACAACGGGGTCAGAGCAACTCCACACTGCAGCTCTTGTGGGATGGTCCCGCTCTGCAGTGCTCAGGACCAACTGAAAGTGGAGAACCAGCCAACCAGTGACAGGGTCATGGGAGGCCAAGGTTCATTGATAGTGGTGAAAGGGGGGGGGGGCTCATTGATGGAGGTGGGGGAGGGAAGGCTCAAGGATGGAGGTTGGGGGGGGATCATTGATGGAGGTGGGGGGAAGGATCATTGATGGGGGTGGGGGGGGAAAGATCATTGATGGAGGTGGTTAGGGAAGGATCATTGGTGGAGGTGGGGGGGAAGGATCATAGATGGAGGAGGGGGGGAAGGATCATCGGTGGAGGTGGGGGAGAGGGATTATTGATGGAGGTGGTGAGGGAAGGATCATCGGTGGAGGTGGAGAGGGAAAGATCATCGGTGGAAGTGTAGAGGGAAGGATCATCGGTGGAGGTGTGGAGGAAGGATCATCGGTGGAGGTGTGGAGGGAAGGATCATCGGTGGAGGTGGAGAGGGAAGGATCATCGGTGGAGGTGGAGAGGGAAAGATCATCGGTGGAGGTGGAGGGGAAGGATCATCGGTGGAGGTGTGGAGGGAAGGATAATCGGTGGAGGTGGAGAGGGAAAGATCATCGGTGGAGGTGGAGGGGAAGGATCATCAGTGGAGGTGTGGAGGGAAGGATCTTCGGTGGAGGTGGGGAGGGAAGGATCATCGGTGGAGGTGTAGAGGGAAGGATTATCGGTGGAGGTGTGGAGGGAAGGATCATCGGTGGAAGTGTAGAGGGAAGGATTATCGGTGGAGGTGTGGAGGGAAGGATCATCGGTGGAGGTGGGGGGGAGGGATTATCAATGGAGGTGGAGAGGGAAGGATCATCGGTGGAGGTGGAGAGGGAAGGATCATCGGTGGAGGTGTGGAGGGAAGGATCATCGGTGGAGGTGGAGAGGGAAGGATCATCGGTGGAGGTGGAGAGGGAAGGATCATCGGTGGAGGTGTGGAGGGAAGGATCATCGGTGGAGGTGGAGAGGAAAGGATCATCGGTGGAGGTGGAGAGGGAAGGATCATCGGTGGAGGTGGAGAGGGAAGAATCATCGGTGGAGGTGTGGAGGGAAGGATCATCGGTGGAGGTGGAGAGGGAAAGATCATCGGTGGAGGTGGAGGGGAAGGATCATCGGTGGAGGTGTGGAGGGAAGGATCATCGGTGGAGGTGTGGAGGGAAGGATCATCGGTGGAGGTGTGGAGGGAAGGATCATCGGTGGAAGTGGAGGGGAAGGATCATCGGTGGAGTGTGGAGGGAAGGATCATCGGTGGAAGTGGAGGGGAAGGATTATCGGTGGAGGTGGAGAGGGAAGGATCATCGGTGGAGGTGGAGGGGAAGGATCATCGGTGGAGGTGGAGAGGGAAGGATCATCGGTGGAAGTGGAGAGGGAAGGATCATCGGTGGAGTTGGAGAGGGAAGGATCATCGGTGGAGGTGGAGAGGGAAGGATCATCGGTGGAGGTGGAGGGGAAGGATCATCGGTGGAGGTGGAGAGGGAAGGATCATCGGTGGAGGTGGAGAGGGAAGGATCATCGGTGGAGGTGGAGAGGGAAGGATCATCGGTGGAGGTGGGGAGGGAAGGATCATCGGTTGAGGTGGAGAGGGAAGGATCATCGGTGGAGGTGGAGAGGGAAGGATCATCGGTGGAGGTGGAGAGGAAAGGATCATCGGTGGAGGTGGGGAGGGAAGGATCATCGGTGGAGGTGGGAGGGAAGGATCATCGGTGGAGGTGTGGAGGGAAGGATCATCGGTGGAGGTGTGGAGGGAAGGATCATCGGTGGAGATGGAGGTGGGGAGGGAAGGATCATCGATGGAGGTGGGGAGGGAAGGATCATCGGTGGAGGTGGGGGGGGAGGGATTATCAATGGAGGTGGAGAGGGAAGGATCATCGGTGGAGGTGTGGAGGGAAGGATCATCGGTGGAAGTGTAGAGGGAAGGATCATCGGTGGAGGTGTGGAGGGAAGGATCATCGGTGGAGGTGTGGAGGGAAGGATCATCGGTGGAGGTGGAGAGGGAAGGATCATCGGTGGAGGTGGAGAGGGAAGGATCATCGGTGGAGGTGTGGAGGGAAGGATCATCGGTGGAGGTGGAGAGGGAAGGATCATCGGTGGAGGTGGAGAGGGAAGGATCATCGGTGGAGGTGGAGAGGAAAGGATCATCGGTGGAGGTGGAGAGGAAAGGATCATCGGTGGAGGTGGAGAGGGAAGGATCATCGGTGGAGGTGGGGAGGGAAGGATCATCGGTGGAGGTGGAGAGGGAAGGATCATAGATGGAGGAGGGGGGGAAGGATCATCGGTGGAGGTGGGGGAGAGGGATTATTGATGGAGGTGGAGAGGGAAGGCTCATCGATGGAGGTGGGGAGGGAAGGCTCATCGATGGAGGTGGGGAGGTAAGGCTCATTGATGGAGGTGGGGAGGGAAAGATCATCGATGGAGGTGGGGAGGGAAGGATCATCGGTGGAGGTGGGGGGGAGGGATTATCAATGGAGGTGGAGAGGAAGGTTCATCGGTGGAGGTGTGGAGGGAAGGATCATCGGTGGAGGTGGAGAGGGAAGGATCATCGGTGGAGGTGGAGAGGGAAGGATCATCGGAGGAAGTGTAGAGGGAAGGATCATCGGTGGAGGTGGAGAGGGAAGGATCATCGGTGGAGGTGGAGAGGGAAGGATCATCAGTGGAGGTGGAGAGGGAAGGATCATCGGTGGAAGTGTAGAGGGAAGGATCATCGTGGAGGTGTGGAGGGAAGGATCATCGGTGGAGGTGGAGAGGGAAGGATCATCAGTGGAGGTGGAGAGGGAAGGATCATCGGTGGAAGTGTAGAGGGAAGGATCATCGGTGGAAGTGTAGAGGGAAGGATCATCGGTGGAGGTGGAGAGGGAAGGATCATCAGTGGAGGTGGAGAGGGAAGGATCATCGGTGGAGGTGGAGAGGGAAGGATCATCGGAGGAAGTGTAGAGGGAAGGATCATCGGTGGAGGTGGAGAGGGAAGGATCATCGGTGGAGGTGGAGAGGGAAGGATCATCAGTGGAGGTGGAGAGGGAAGGATCATCGGTGGAAGTGTAGAGGGAAGGATCATCGGTGGAAGTGGGGGGGAAGGATAATCGGTGGAGGTGGGGAGGGAAGGATCATCGGTGGAAGTGGGGGGGAAGGATAATCGGTGGAGGTGGGGAGGGAAGAATCATCGGTGGAGGTGGAGAGGGAAGGATCATAGATGGAGGTGGGGGGGAAGGATAATCAGTGGAGGTGGAGAGGGAAGGATCATTGGTGGAGGTGGAGAGGGAAGGATCATTGGTGGAGGTGTAGAGGGAAGGATCATTGGTGGAGGTGGGGAGGGAAGGATCATCGGTGGAGGTGGAGAGGGAAGGATCATCGGTGGAGGTGGGGAGGGAAGGATCATCGGTGGAGGTGGGGAGGGAAGGCTCATTGATGGAGGTGGGGGGGGGATTATTGATGGAGGTGGGGGAGAGCTCATTGATGGAAACCCGACCTGAGAAATGCCATGCTGGATCTGCCGCCCATTTGGGTTTCCATCTTTTTCTCGGATGCGTTTTCCCGTCATGGTGGAACTTTGTCGCTTTTTTTTCCAACATTTTTGCAAAGTGAAAACTCTCAATTTGCGCCCCACAGAGGCTGAAATGTCCTCGCCAATCGGAATTCCTCCAGCCGGGTCCTCAGAAATCTGATTTCTATGTCACCTTCCAGTGTATGGATTGGTGGGGTGTGTCGGTGAATCCGGAGCCCCTCCCCCCCATCCACTAACACAGGTGAGCTGAATTGGGCTGATTAGCTGCTAAGTGTTCCCAGATGTCGGCGACTCGGCGAGGAAACGGTTTGCTCGGCGCAGGAACTGGATGGGCCCATCGCTGCTCTATAAATAGAACATCCAATATTTAACGAGAGAAAACCTGAATCTGGGCAAAAAAAACGAGACATTTCCGGGAAGAACCTGAAGAGCGATGGAAGACGTGTTCAGCGCTGGGAAATGGTAGGTGACCACCGGGCAGGAGGGGCGGAGTTTAGACAACTATGTCCACGGTGGGCGGAGAATTACCGACATTGAAAGGCTGATTGGTAGAAAACTAGAACTGCCAATCAGATCTCAGCCCTCACCCTCAATTGTTGCTCCGCTCTTGTCCAGAAATTCAGTTTTTTTTCCAAATCCGGCTACTGGAGGATCCAGCCATTGCACACAATGCGGTTTAAATTTTTTTTTTCTTAAAAGAGGGGCCCCAATCACAGGGCTCCCCTGCCATGCTGACAGCAATCTGTGTGCCCTTCTCCACCTGTTAGGGGCTCCTAAAAAGGGTCATAACCCCAGGAACCTGACCCCACCGTGTCACATGACCGGGTGGGGGAAGGGAGGAGTATCAGTGTAAGGGGGCATTAGGAGGAACTTAAAACGGGACCCCGATGTGCAAAGTAAAATCCGAAAACCTCCATGACCGGAGAGAAGACACCATCCGCTCACCAGACCACCACATAGGAGGTCTAACCGCACTCATCCAATCACCACATCCATTGGCAGATCTCCAAAGAGGCCTCTCCAGCAGGTCACCCAAGTCTAATAAACAGCATGAGAACCATCAGAGGACCCACCATGGTGTCCTATATAAAATATCCACTCTTTGTTATTATAACAAGCACGCGTGATGACGTCAGCTCTAGCACTGACGTCATCGCGCATCACATATTTTAGAACAAAGCACAGATTTTTTTTTTAGGTTTCAGTTTATGAGGAACTTGCCTGCTCCAAGCGGATTGGCTGAGGAAGTGTCATTAGTCGCTCGTCTTTATTTGTTACATTGTCACATACTGAGTAGAGATTGGAACTCATTGATGGAGGTGGGGGGGGGTCATTGATGGAGGTGGGGAGGGGTACTCACTGATGGAGGTGGGAGGGGTTCATTGATGGAGGTGGGGAGGGAAGGCTGATTGGTGGGGGGGTCGGTGATGGAGATGGGGAGGAAAGGCTCATTGATGGAGGGATTGAGGTGGGGGGGCTCATTGATGTAGGTGGGGAGGAAATGCTCATTGATGGAGGTGGTGGAGGGAAGGCAGGTTGATGGAGGTGAGGGAGGGAAGGCTCAT